AGCGACTCATCACTCAACCACAATATCCAAATGAGGCTCAATCTGATTAAAAGTTATCCAACCTTTCAGCCATCCATTCCCCTATTCGTGAGCACCGAACGTTATCAAAAGAATCATTCAAAGAGAGACGCGTAGAATTCTAAATTAAGAGTGACGGGCCCCATCGACAGCGAGATAAACCGACGGTAGCCACATTCGCGGCGCATTTTCAGGCTCGTCTACAATTGCGGTTAATTACCGGCATATTCATGCACACGATACCACGCTCCTTGGCCGAGGGTACGATACGCAGCAGGACGTGCCTACCACTCCGACACATGGATGCGACCGTAACTCGTTAGTTGCTCGGGACACGTCCATTGAATTAGCGGCGGGCTTAATTAAATCATCCAGATAAACAACCTCCCTTCACGGTGGACAGGAGTGCGGCGGCGACCTGTCTTTATCTGCTCGTCCCAGCGATATTCAGCGGACTTTTTTTTCCGTCCGCTGGCCGCCACCTGAATGGTTTGGGCTTCTTTCAGGGATGCCGACCTTTAGCGGGGACAAAGCCGAAGAGTGAAAGGGACTGCAGCCAGCTAGCATCGTGATAACGTATAAATTCACTGCTGTTTCTGTGACCTAGCGTCTATCAATCCTAGCTGGACTCGATACATTTTGCATTGGTCCAAGTAGAATGAACTTAGCACTGATGACAAGTCATTAGGATCATTTTGATTAGTCTTTACTTGGGTTTACAAAGGTTGTGTATTCATTTCAGTGTATTATAACAGTTTCAGTGTACTATCCTTATAGATGAGGATCAGGATGAAGAATACCCCACTTGTTTTCGATACAGTTCCATTAGAACCATCCATCTTGCAAAATTAATACTATGCAACTTAAAACTCCTCAGTACTCATGTTACCCCGACATCTTTTCTCGCCGAGAAATGTTATGAGTAGTGCAATCGATACATCTGTTCAGCGGAAACAATAATGACGTTTGACCGTGAAATACAACACCGGCACAAAGCAGGCGGCTCCCTTTCACTGGTAATAAATCTAGATCCATGGGATGATGCGGTCAACAGCGTCCCCTGATGAAAGGTACATCTTCGACGGTGTAACTCGATACACGACCGTAATCGTAAAGAACAATACGCGGGGGTCGATTAATGAGCAGGCGTCCTGCGCTGTATAGTGTGCGATGAACTCATGGTTCCAGAGGGTCGGCGACGCACGGTGAGATAGCAATTCCCACGAATCCTACTAAGTGGCCAGCTTTCACGCTGCAAAATGGCCTCTAGTATCAATTAACGGATGGGTTTGTGATCTTTGAACTGTAATACCTAGTATCACTTCAGAAGACTACGGTCGTTCCTCCTGGTGGTTAATTCTCACCATGGAGACATGACATTGATTTTCAAAAAATTATTAAATGCTGTTAACGAAAGTTTCTGAATATTTTATGATGTTCGATTGCATTATACAATTTATGCTTTGGGATTTGTAGGTTAGGGTTTAGTGTCTTAACCTATATCCTCGTAAGTATGCACCATCTTTTGTTCCCATAACACATGCAGTAAAAGTAGAGCGAAGAGAACAGCAAGAAAAAGGCACTTTATCTTTAAACGTCCGTAACAGAGTTTGATCCTCGTAAAAGTGCTTGCTAGCCGAAGTATAAAACTGATGTTCGCGAAAAATATTTGCCAGTCTATCGGTTTGATCGTGCTGTATTGGACAGCGGGTACTTTTTTTTTTATATGCAAAATAACGCGTGAGCATATTCAAACCAACGAGTTACATGCTGCGTCTGTTCAATTGCCTCTTCCCCCTCGTACTCGTGTAACAACTTTTTGAAAAAACAATCGATACGCCATCGGTACCTGTCAGAGAGAAAATAACTCTTGTCATCGTTACGATCGACAGAACATCAAAGCTACTTTTTACGATGAATATTTCTTTGATCATGAATTCACTCTGTAAATGAATTGTTTTTATTCAACAATGTAGAGGCATTTCTTTATACATGTGTCTACAATTCGAGGTTAGATTTTGGTTGGATTGAAAAATGTATGAAAAAAGTAATCCACGAGTAAAAAACAATAGCGTTCCATATGGAGTATAATAAAATTGACAGCAAAATATACATATGGTGCTGATTATATGCGTGAAGTAGTTTCAGGACGCCATCGATAGAGGGCGTCAAACAATCGACGCCATAAATGAGACTCGTAAAACCGAAGACGTAGAAATTTTGTACCAGACCATTATTCAATTATCTGATTTTGGTTTAGGACACCTACGCTAGGCTCGTTCGCACTTTAACGGCTTATAGTACCGATTCAACACCGTTTTCTCATCGTTGAACGCGGAATCGTAAAACCGGTCATTTCGAGCCTCGTAAACGCCATCAAGCTCGGGGTCTGAAAAGGAGGTAATTACAGGCGCCGCTAAATGAAAGTAAAAGGGACAGGAATTACTTGGAAAAAATTTTCAATTTTCATCTTTGCTCCTCGTTACTTAGCTCCTTCTATTTCCTCTGAAGAGTTTCTTCTCTTGTTGGAAAATTATAAAAATGCGATAAAAATGATCGTTAAAAATTCTCATCCAAAGTGGGGATAGTTGTTTTTAAATTTATGAAAATATTTAATCACTGCAAAAATTTCAATCTTTAATTCATGCAATCCTTCATCCAAGTGACTCCAGGCAATTGGGCCGTCCGGATCATCGATAAACTGTCTGGAAGTCCAACAGGTCTGCCAACTGCATAAGGGGAACTACACTTTTCCGTGCAGTACCATCGTGCTCGATCGCGAGCTGCCGATGACAGCGATTACAAGCGGAATAACAATGCTCGCGGATAGTTCTGGCTTCGTTCGACGTAACGTAATCAGCAAAGTACACCGATGTGCTTTATTCGACATGATGCGATCGATCGTTTTGCAAACGGACGTAGGCCGTACGTAAATCCGGGTACCGGATTACCGTGGACCGTGTCGTTGCGACATATGTACGCGCGTGCAATATTTAAGCCTCGTTAAACCCGTAATTTCAAATCGGCCATGGGGTCCGCGTCATATGTTATTGATAATCGAGCCGCTTCTGCAGAGCATCGGTTGAATAATGCGCGGATTACGCGGTCTAAACCGAAGCAAACGTCGAATAATTAACAAGACAGGCAAGGCACGCTTTGAAAAGCAGCCGCGAGCGGTGAGCTCCTCGCAGCACCGCGAGCGTTACGCTTCGGCCTCATTAACTATACAACTTCCAGTCTCTTTGACGCGGCGCGAAGAGATTGATGAGGCGAGCTCCGACCGATTAGAGACTGTGATTAAGAAAGTCACGTCTCTGTGTGTGCTTATGTCTGCATGCTTTCGTGTCTGTATGTTACCTCCTTCCTGGATGCTTTTTATCCTTGTTGAAAGCGGCTGAAATTTTGGGCCATAAATTAGAGACTACAGATAATGCAGTTGGTTATCTGATTTCAAACTGCCCACGTTCATTTGTAAATTATACTGTTTTTTAGATTATGCGATTTCCATCTGTTTGAAAATCAAATTGGTTTAAATGAAAGGTATTTAAAAAGAATTTTTCCTCTCTATAACAAAAGCTTAATTAAAAAGTGATACTCTTACATTTGTCAGAGGAAAGTAATTTAATGTAAAAGTTTTTCATTAAATTGCTCGACGTTGAACAATTATTTTATTTAATTAGAAATTATTAAATAATGTTTATGAAATGTTTCCTCTGCTTAATTGCACGCAATACTTTTTGATTCTTTATTATTAATTATGTATTGCGATCTCAGAGCTGTGATTAATTTATAAAATATTTTACTTTTTGCTTTTTTATTATTAATTATGTATTGCGATCTCAGAGCTGTGATTTATTTTAAATTTATAATTTATAAAATATTTGATCCATTTTTTTTTCAATTGCGTGCTTCAACGTGAATTTTCACTCAAGTTCACTGTGAAATACCGATGTATCAGTTTAAGCAATTTCAAATTTCACGAGGATTTCGGTGTCGTTTTCGTCTCGAGTTTCCCAAACACTGTCTCGTGAAATTGTTTTCGAGCGTAAGAAACAATTTCTCGGGGACAAAGAACCTGACAGTTCCTCTAAGACGCCATTACGCGTCGTCTACTTGTCGCCATCTTGTTCATCGCGAATTCACGACGGATCACGTCAACGGATACCGTCCGTTGCACCGTTGTTTCCCAAACGAGCTGGAATTTTGTTACAATTTCTAGCGGGCACGTTTCACCGTCCAGATTTTATTAGTTTCAATTAAAGTGTTCGATGAATGTGATGAGCGGACTTTGACGATTAATAACAGTCTTTGATGTATGGATAGTGAAATTCTATATTTGACATTACTGAAATTGAAGCTGTTTAGTGATAATGAAAGATTTAAATAATTACGTCGGATTATTGATAAATTTTCATTTGTTACTGTTTAATGCCCATTACTGGTATTAGCAAAATGACAATAAAAATCTCACTTCGGAAGATATTATTATCTTTACCTCAAGTGTTATCTGTGTACTGCATTTTTCAATAATTAATCGTCATATTTTCTCTTATCAATAATAATTGGTCTCGTATTTCGAGCCGAATGTCCCAGTTCTGTAGTCGTTTTGCATTCCATTCTGCTCGATAAACACGCCTCTGTATTCATTGAACAGACAAGTTTCACGGCCTTGTTCCCAACGTTCGAACGTAAACAATATCCTCGCACACTCTTGAAATCGCAAAGGTCCTCAGTCATTACCGAACTTCGGTACGCGTCGCGTCGTAGATCTCTTTCCTCGCGAGTGTCTTGCTTTGTTTTGGCTGTCGTGTGCTTACGTTGCTTACAATACCAGCGTTATAATGAACATGTGAGTATAAATTGATAAATTTCCAATGTTCGTACATTTTTAATAACAAATTTTGAAGCTCTCGCGTTTTCGTTGAATATTTGCAAAACCTAGCAAGATATTTTTACAAATTTTTCTTGATTGCATGTTGCAGAAAGAACCAATGAGCGTCGACCTCGTCGTAACACCATTCCGAAACGAAAACATTTTCGCCTGGACGACAAACTAACCAGTAGGCAAAAACGTGAGTATCATACTGATTGTTTTTTGGCATGGAACATGCACGGTACGAAATTCGAAATTTTACCGTGGAATTAGCAAATTATATTTTACACCGAATCCGAGTTCTGTTAATAACGCAGCATAACCTACAGAACAATCGCCTGCCTCATTTTTTTTTTTTTTTTTCATAGAATCCTTTACCCTATTTCCAGCGAACCGTGAAATTTTGAAATAGAAAAAAAAGCGTCGCGTAATTGCTTCCTCTGTCGTTCCCCGGTTTCGAGATTGTAAAACGCGCACCACATAACCGTTCTACTTTTTGCAAGTTACAACTAGTATCAAAGAAAGGACGTAAAAAGAGAAATAGGGTCGAGGAATATTTTTCGAATATTTTGTTAGAATTTTTGCCAGTTATGTTTCGAGAATAATACAAAATTATAAATTTAAATATTCAGACATAGAATAGTCGGTTTCGAAACGCTTTAAAAATGTAAGGTTTTTTGAACACCCTGTATGTATAAGTAGAGATTGCAAGTTTAAAAAGCGTGGTGGCTGGTTCATGTCACAAATGTATTCTATGTCGCGATTTCGTTTTCGCTGGATGTGTCTACAAAGTCGTGGCGACATCACGGAACGTAAATTTTGTCGCACGATTATCTACATAATGGGCGAGCGTCGCGCGCGTACAGAAAATTTATCGTCTGACTTCCCGATGAAAATTCATATCTTTTCACCCCTGAAATTTTCCTGTCGCACTGTTTCTCTGCAAGAAACAGATCCTCTTTTGACTTCTTTTGACGCTTGCCTAATGTCCTTCCACTATTATCATCTTCCTCTTTGATATATCTTTTTATTCATGAATACGTTGAATCTATGCCACAAGTATTATCATAGTTTTTATTCATAAAATTATAACTATGAAAGAAGTAAGATGACAGTATTATGAGACGATACATAACCCAAAACAGTAGAGCGGGTCTGGGCAGTCCGTGCCTTAAAGGTTTGGGGTGCCACAGCAAGCCTTAACTCTATCCAGAGATTAAGTTATGATAAAAAATGTAACATTAGTAGAGAAAGTCACGAGAATTTTTTTTCTTTTGCTGTAAGTGTTATAAGATAAGATCCCAGTTTCAGGACCCTAATTTTGGACGCTTCTGCAGTGGAGGCTATACATAACCTTTTTTTTTTTTCATTAGTTAGAGGGGAGATATTTGTATAAAATAATACAATTTCGATTATTATGATAATTATAATTACTGCAATGTTATCCATTTTGAAACAACCTATATACTTAAAGGTTCGCTCTTTCTAAGGACACCCTGTGTGTACCTACATAGATATACACTGTCTTGCACGTATGCACACAGGAAGCCCGAAGGAAATGTCTGGCAGACGCCGGGAAACGTGATATCCGAAGTCACTCACGAATTCATAGGATCCCTTTTCTTCTTTGTTTTCCTCCGCGCAGCCGTGTAACTCGCACGCGACCACGCGTACCGATTCGGTAATGTTCCCGAGGATTTCCCGGCAATCTCAGCCCGCTTTCCTCCAAATCTCCCGGCAATGAGCCGCGTGATGTTTTTCTACCCCCCTCCTCGCACACACACACGCCCCCATACCGTCGTCTCGTTCGATGTGACGGTCAGGAGCTGAATTTCGGATGCTGCTGAGAGGGAGCGTCGTATTTCCTTGAACCTAACTTAACCATGTAGGTTTATCATTCGGTCCCGGTGGAAATAAAGAATTTTAGATCGTTTTAGGGTGAATGGAATTAAAGTCTGTTCGAACATGATGATTATTCAGGATTGATAAAGAGTCTGCGATTGTTGTAAGGTTAAAAGTACCCACATACTATCGTACACCCTGCATAAATCCATCACAAGGATTAGGTATCAAACGACGCGAATGATTGTAGGTATTAACCATAGGGTTAGTGGCGAATGTAGGACATCAAGATACCGAATAAAACTTGATTTGTTAACTTATTTTTCTATTATTAAGAAAAGTAGTCGATCTGCAATCAAAATGAACATTACGGTTGATTCTCGTTAACAGACAATTCAAGCGCCCAATGAAATTTTGCCCTTGCGCGCATTGTATTTCAGATTCAATTTTCAGTCTCCCATTAATTTCCCCGGGTACTTCAAAGGTTTGCCAAGATTAATTTTCCTCTTCGTCGAATCGAAAACATTTGTTTTGTGACAGAAGTCGCTCTCGCGTTCATCCAATTACGAAAAATGTGCTGCTTTTGCTTGAACATTTTCGTTCGATAATTAAAATTAAAATTCCTTCAAGTTTTCCATCGTTTCGATATATTTCAAACACGAACTGTCCTTAGATAAATAAAAATTGGGATAAATATCAGCCATAAATACTGATCGAATTGAGTAACCACCTCGTTTTTCGAAATCGGTTAAAAAATAATTTCGATTAAACTTAAAATATTTCGGAGTTTGTTAAAAACAGAGCCACAAAACTGTCGCCGGAAGTCATCCTCCGGGCGTCGAGTTTCCTGCGCAGCCCTTCATTTGGCAGAATTTTCTCAACGTTTCACCAGGGGTCCCGCCCTTCTCAATCAGACCGAAAAGACACCCGACCCTTAACATACGAACCTGCGTGCACACATTCACGGGGTAATCCGCATAAATTCCTGGAGTAACAGTCGCGTTTTCATCCGGTCCGGTTGGGGGTCTAAGCGGAAACGAAGAAATTGAGAGGAAAGGAAGCTCGGGTTGGGATGAGCTCAACTAGCATGTACACCGTCGTAGGATTTAGGTCAACAATGTGGAACCTCGTAGAAATCGCTCCGGGGAATAGACTGTCGTAACTGATCGAAAGTATTCTGCTCGATTTGGCCACGATCTCCGTGGATCTGCTGGTAAGCGTGGTAATGTAGCCACCTGCTTTACCAACAGTTTCGTGTAACAGGATAATCGTAACTGGTGACCCAGTTCCTGGACAAGGCGTGTTTCACGATGCGATGTCCCGAGCGCCGATCTTCGATCCAGCAACGTTGTATCGTTAACGACACGCTGGATTGGGTTCGATTGAAATTACGTAGAAGGGTTTCGTTGTGTTCCAATTAGTAAGATAAGTAATGGTATTCGGAACAATGTCACAGCTGCAGTAGAGGGAATAAAAGTATGCGGCGCATATCCCTTAACTGCTACAGCGAAACAAATGAATGTCAAGTCGAGTTATTCCCCTTTTATTAATTATTAAATGAATAAACTCGCTTCGAAATGAATACCTAACCGAATAACGGTCCTCTGTAATGGAGGCATAACGCAAAGTATTAAAACAAATGATGGGGGCCTCCTTCCCCTATAGAAGGTTACCATGCTCGGTATTTTACAGGAACGTCCTCTACAACCCAATACATACACATGGGACAGCATTGACTTTGAGGGAGTCCTAAAAGCTGCAAACCACTCCACCGACTAGTTAGAAACGTTTCACTGGCCGAATTGTTAAGTGGCCGACTGTTATACTTAATCTATGCTCGCAGAGTAAAGCGAGTTCCGGTTAGGTTAGCTCCCTGGTGGCGAGAGGAAAAAAAAAACATCCTTGGAACACACGTGTGCATCGTTGCGGAAGCCCTTCAAAGGCATCGGTGAATCGCAGTTAAACAATGGCTTGCAAATAAATCCCGCCACGTTTCGACGCTTTTCGTTTAATGTTTCCGGGGAACGGTGGCGCAGACGGGTCTAAATTGGGAGATTTTCAGCCGGTCGACGTTAAATGTTTAATTGGAGTCGCTCGACTCGCGGAGACCCTCAGAATGGATTGCGGGAGGACGGTTTTATTTTTGGATACGTGTAACGAAGTTTGGATAAATATAGAGGCAAATATTTTGAAATGTCTACGCTAAGGAAATATTCATTAGTATGACAAAATGCTGTTGCTTTATCCCGACAGTATAAATATACTTTTTAGGTTATGTTTGTAAATATGTCCCTTGGGTTAATTTCGGTCTTAATATTACAACTCATTCGTTTTGGAATTAATGTAAATCCTACACGAGAATTGCCATAAAATAGTCAGAACAGGTGTCGAGGATTAGAAACCTAACCTATTTATACGACCCTCTGCGTTTTCACCTAACCTACATTTTTCTTCGCGATGCATTGCATTTCCAAGGACCAAAGTCAGGTACTTCATGCACAAACGAGTCCTTTCTCGCGGAAAAATCTCGCGCTCCGAGGACATACATACATATACATATATTCGAGTCACCGCGGATGCATTTTGACCCCGGTCGAGTGTCAAACACGCAATAAAGCCGTGTTTGTGAGTGCGGTGACCCAGTTCGAATAAAAATATACACGCAAGCTCTGCCAGCATCCAACAGCAATTCGCTCGAACACTCTTGCTTGAGCTTGCATCCTGTTCGTTTTTCTACGCGCTGATCCTCTCGCTTGGCACCCAAGGGTACCAAATTATGAAATGCAGTTTTCATTTTGGAAACGTCGGTTTTCGAAAACGGAGTGCAGTCAGATAATGACGAAACCATTTTGAGAAAAAAAATCAATATCTGCAGAGGACTTTTTCCTTTTCAAAATGCATCCGTGCCAGAACTTAAGCTGAGGCTAAAAGTATAATTTAGTTAAAATGTTTCTTTCTGTTGATGGAAATTTCTTTCCTGTCTTTCTAAAGATTCCGAAGTAATTTCATCGTTATTATGAGCCAGAGGGGGTGTACGGTAGATTCTGTTAAATCATAAAGACGAAAGAATTCAGGTTGGAAGGAAAACGGAAGATGCAAGTATCAGGCTTTTGAAATTCGTCGGGATATTGAATAAGTGGAATCTGTTAGTGGGGGGTTAATTTTGATGATGTCCGAAGTTTTTATTGGAAAAGTTGCCAGCACGAGAATTTTGTTACGAACTAATATCTGAGGTATTCGTGTAAGCCCCCGTCGGAATGAACCGCGGGGTAACTTTGTTTCAGAAATGACTTAGTTTTCAATTGCTTTCGCCGCCCTGCATTCGCTGTAATTTTATGAAAACATATTAACCTGTCCATATTTTTTTTTCATTACTTTTCCCGTTTCATCGTCCAACTTGAATCAAATTTTTCTCTTTATTCCATTACAACCTGAATGGTTGTTTATTTTTTTAAATGTTTCAAATATTAATTAAAGTAAATATTTGGTTTCATCTCCGTGATAATTATTTCAATAAATTGCACGAATGAGATAAAAGGAGATTTCTGAAATATTAATAAAATTCATCAGACATATCACTGTAGTCACCTACGAATTCCTAAAATTAGTCTTATAGTCTGGAAAATTTAAAAAGAGGGTTGTCATTCCACTGTGCACACACGTGTACACAATCAACCGGAGGATTACGCAGGACCGTCTGCAACATGGCAGCTCGCATTACCTGGCCCCTTTCTCTCTCTATTATGAGGGGCATTAGCGCTGCCGGCGGTTGTAGCAGCCAGGGAAAAACAATAGGTATACCCAGGACACTTGTCCGCCTCTCTGCCATACTTGTCCATTGTTCACAGCGCCGTCTGTCGGTTTTGTTGTTACACAGAGGGCTAAGAACACCGTAGGAATCCTCGAAGAAGCCTGAGACTTGGCTCTGTCTTTTATTAGCCAGAACAATCGTCGAGCAAACGAAGGACTCCATCAGCTGACCAATTCATGGGTCCAACGTGGCTTTTAAGCGCGGCAAATAAGGCAATCTTCGAAAATTGAATCTCCTCACGTTTTACACTTTCTGTTTAGTTATTTTTGTCGAGGGTGCCTTATCCTTTGTCTATTAGAGTACAATTCAACTATAGTCCAGTTTCAGTCTTTTAATCCTTTAGCACTTTAAAAGCTAAGGTTTGTTGTTGTCGACCTCAATTGATGGAAACTAGGCACTGAAAATTTATGTTTCAATATTTTGGTTGACTATCGATAGAACTGTGTATTACTGGAGCAAACAATAGAATTATGTTGGTAGTCTGCTTGAATTATTCATGATAATAGAGGTACTATTGAATTACGAGACGTTCAGCTGGCATGCAGAGTGTATGGGGGTGGAAGTCCAAGTTCTGTGTGTAATAAAAATTGTAGTTTCAGGGGTGGAGCTCGATCGTTCGACGGAGAATCGTTTTTCCAAGACAAACACTGGCGCTCGTTAAATTGAACACGCGGTTGGTTACTTTAGGGATGCTTGTTTTCTTTCCTTTTTTCGGAGACCACTGGCCAGCGTTCGATTAATCACTTTGCTGGGGCGTATTTAGGTGGGAATTGTGAGATACAATCATTTTGTACCTTTTATGATAGCATAATCTGTCTTTTACGTGAGGACAATTATTTCTATTATACAGAAATGTCTCTTTGTATTTAAAGGATGAAAACATTTTCAACCTTTCAAAATGTATTCATTAAGGATGGTAGCTTAATGTCTTTTCCATTGATTAGCATCTTCATTAGTGTTCCATTATTCGAAAATAGGTTGAATAGTTATCATGTTGCATAATTAGATTGCAACACTATAATTAAAAGCACCTCTTATGTCAGGTTAACATGTTTTGCCACCTAATACATTTACACACATCGCACCTGTGTGTACTCCTTCTCGAATTAATCTTCATACATCATTTGTCCCCATACTTCTATCAACAGATCAATATTAATCCTCTTAGATGCATTACAACTTCAATCTTTTGTTCGGCATGCATAGCATCAAAACTTCTACCTTTCAGGTAAATTGCATAAACCGTTCAATCGCTAAAAGAGGCGTCGTCGTGACGCGAAAATACGATCAATTTTTATTCCTGGCAAAGCTAATGCGATGTAATCATGCACGTGAATGCTAGACGTTTATAATTAGCACGCGAAAGGATCGCGAATGGCGCTGTCGTCGAACTTAACCCGTGCAGTTCCATAATTCAGCTTTCATCGTAGCAAATAACACCGATAACGGATTAAGGGTACCGGGTCCGTACCATTAAATCCCGTTGGTATCGCATTAATTCCTTTTTAATTTTTGTATCATTGCCGTTCATTGAATCGCGTCACGAAGGCGTTCTTCGTGCATGCCACGTTTATTCTATGAAATATAGTAGACGTGCAATTATTTCGCGGATAACGAGGGGAGGTATCTAGAAACTTCAAAAAAAAAAAAAAAATCAATTCCCTTAAAATCTCATTCTTTCGTAGCAATATCCTCAGGTACATTTCTCAGAAAAAGAAATCAAACATGTTTCTTTTTAAATAACAATTGCAAAGCTTTAATATTCTAGCGACCATTTTGTATTTCTTCTTAAAGATTCACTTAATAGATGTTTATAATAATCTTCGTATCTTCGAAACCATTATTGAAGGCTTTAGGTTGCCTTTCCCTCATTAGGGCTTTACAGATCCAATCTGATTGAAAATCGGAATTCCCATATCATATCTCTGGCCGATAGCCTAATTATTAACATTACAACAACTCGACGGCACAGTTTGATGATATCGGGTGCGTTGAACTATTATCTCGGGTCGCTCGACCGTATGATTGTCGCCTAATGATCTCCTCCGAATTGTTAACTAACCACTGTTAAGTAATAGCGTGTCGCGTGCTTTAATAACGTTATGACGGCCGAATGGATATCGGGCTGGTCGATTCGACCGGTGTTTATTGTCCGGCTGCTCGTAATTCTCGCGTAACACCAATTATCGTTTCGGCTGTGCGTACACGGCTGCTTCCCTTCCGTGGAATTAATGCCGGCACAGCACGGTTCGCGACGTTCCCAAATATGTCCGAGGAACACGGTAGACAGTGAAATTTCCATTGCAAAGATAATCGTTGCCCTATTAACGGCATAACGAGATTTCCAACGCCGTTGGTCAGCTTTATTCTTCCCAGTTTCGTTGCAGTTTAACCACCAACGGCGCCACCAGTCTTTGGCTAATGGCGGTGGTTTCGTTTCATTTCGTTGCGGCTAATCTGCCTCTGCTACTGCTGTTAATCCATTAACTGATGGTTAAAGATGGGGAGAGGGTATTGCGTTTTCCACTGTGTTCACATTTTCTGTTGTTTCTTCTCGTTTTCAAGAACAGCAGTTAGGAAAATAAATGTCCATAAATGTTTAACAATGTTATTAAATTGCATCTATTAAGAGAAAAATATATCACTTTACTTACCTTAGAAAGAAATATTACACTTACCTGCTAGGTATGTAACATGTGTTTTAGATGATTAACAAAACTGTTGGAAACGTAGCAGTCACTTTAACCTCACTACACAAAACTTCTCACCAAACTTCATCAGATCACGAAACACCTGTAATATTCACTTTTCAACAACATTTATCAGTTTCTGAATCGTCGATCGATTCGATAAAGGAAACAACCCCTCACAAAATCACTATGTACTCGTTCATCAAAAGCTGTCCGGTCGACACGCCGATCTACTACGCGGAAACGAAATGGCCGTGTCACGTGACGTCACGGAAACGATCGTCGCGCACAATAAGGTTCGTTTCCAACGAGCGTTACCGGCAGGCGGCATTTACAGAACATGGTAAGCGAATTGTAGATCGACAGGACTTAAATAGCGAATTAATTAAACGTCAATGAAACACTGAAGTAATATCTTTCGAGCAGAACGGTGCAGCGTGGCCGAAAATCGCTAAATGGAAAGAAGCCATTTAGTAAAAGGCACATTCATACAAGAATGAACATTTGTATCAAGAATTCGTGTTTGATAAATATCTAATGTGCGATCGGGCATTGATTATAGTACAGTAATTACGATATTGCAAGGTCCCTACCTTTTTTCTGCAAACATAGAGACAAATCTTACCGCACATGGGGACTTTATGGTGCAATTGATACACACTAGACACCGGTAGATGCACCCGTATGGTGCCAAGACGATTGATGGGCTCGTGGCTGTCGCGTGTCACCTACACGCGTGCACACACACACGTGACTCTTCTTCCAGAGATTTATCGGGCATTAAGAACGGTCGATTCAATTACGCTTGCGACTGACCCCCCTGCATTTCGTCTTGTGTGCCGTGAAAACAAAGATTTAAGTGGACAACGTGGCCAACGTACGGATGCTTTAATGGCATTACCGGGAAATTACAAGATAAACAGAGATTATCTGTTCTCGCGAGCGAGCGCCATCTCTTCTTCCCAGCTTTCCCATACCGGCTATGCTTGTCTCGTGCTAATGGCCATGGGACTGGTGGTAGTTGAGAGGCGAGGGGGCAGCTAGTCGAAGGAAATTTAAGGTTATTGCGGGTTTAAAGTAGCGAACAGTGACAAACTGGTGTCCCCTTAATCGTTTCGGAAAAGTTTCATTTGGCCGGACGTTCGAATAGCTGTCAAGACAATAAAGATGGCGCTTGATGTTTGTCGCTGGGGAATGGGAACGGAATTTTCGTAGACGATTTTGGGATCGGAATGTATTGAATGGTTTCGATATCTTTCGAATTGCTGACGTTGAAACTTTTTGGATAAGTCATGAAATATTTGGTTAAACTCTCCTGCTTTTCTGTTTTATTATTTACAATTTTGCAGGTGTCGTGATTTTTATTGAATTATTCTTTTTCAATATCTGTTCAACAAGCATTTGACGTCGTCGTACAATTACTTCAAGAAAATAGAAGCATCGAAGCATTTTTCTCTTTTAAAATCTGCCTATTCAGAAATGATTCGTGCCGTTTAATGACATCAAAGACTTCCTTAATCATTGTTCCTCGTCTAGTTTTATAAAGGGCAGGCAACCTCTTTTATTTTTTTATTCTTCGCCTACCTCGTTTCTCGTTTCAATTTATCTTTGACACAAATGCGACCGTGATATTCATTACGGCGAAATTGTTTTAACGATAATCTGTCGACGCCGAGGAGCGTAGCTTCAATTTCTCTGGCTGCTTCCGGTTCCACGTTCTCACCCTTTAACCCGGTGCGCCCAACCCTTGCAGTAGATTTTTTAAATACTGGGACGGTCGGTCTGTTTCACGCCTTCTTCGTTCATTAAAGTCGATGGCGTGATCCGTGAGAATCAGCTGAAACACGAAGATGAAATGCCTCTTGAAGGTATTTCTACGTGAAAAATCCTTTCTCCTTTTGGTATGTTTTTAATTTTCTGCTTCGCGCCTCTTTGAATGCGATGACATGTGGAATTCTTTGAATTTTTAGAATATTGAGGTTAAGGATCTCTGGTTATGAAGGTGTACTTTCTTCACAAAAAAATTGCTTGAAATGAAAAGTTGAAACCTTTTGATCTAAAGTTGATTAAATGAAAATTTCAGATACAAACATTTAATGGCTTTGGGATTATAACCTAAAAATCTAGTTCGTAATTCCTAACCTCAAAATAATATACAAAACTTAGGAAACTTCTTAATTTTTTAACGCACTCCTACGTTCATTATAGTGAATTAATTTTGTAAAAAAGAAACTCGGTAATAAAGAAACATTTAAACGCTTGAACGTAAATTGTTTAAGAGTTTCGTAGTGAGATACTCTCCTGGAAATTTACCTCGTAAAGTTCTCCGGAAAATTTTTTTTTTTTTTCAACTGTTTGCCAAGTAGTTGAGGAACGTTTTTAAAATTTTCTTGAGAAAGTGAAGGAACGCTCGAGGTTACCCGGAAGATAAACTTCTGACTTCTGAAGGTTCGTCTCGACCAAAGTTTCTCCCCGGATACCCTCCGGTAGACCTCACAGACGAATCAATCAATAAACAACGTTAATCGCATTATAATCAAAATACTTCCCCCGCATAATCAGTGATACGTATTCACGGTGCGTCCCTCGGTCCATGAATAATGTAGAGCCTGTTTCACGGTATAATTTTTATTAACTACTACTACCAATCCTGTGGCTCCTATTATATTCTGCTATCATAAGTTAGCCTCTGTAAAAGCCTCCACTTTTGGTACTTCTACTTTTTCTACTGCTTTTACATAAATGAAGTATCGTTCCCCTTAATTCTAGGATATCATTAAATTGTGTTGCTTAACTCCAAGACTCTGAGCAATATAGCAAAGAAATTTCAAGGGATTTAAATTTACTTAGCTATAAGACACGTCACTTTTATCTACAAAAAAATTGGAGTCACAGTTTCCGGAAATTCTTATTTAATACTTATCTCAAAGAAAATGTCAGCATCGGGTTGTGATTTTTGTTGTGTCCTATACGTCTTTCCATTTCCTTCCTTCTCGCTCAGTTACCTCTAGCACTTTCTCTTTCTCCTTCACCTAGCCGTGTCTTCCACCCCCAATTTATCTCTTCCTCTTCTATGTAGCGGCAGTGTGGCCCCGACAGCCGACAGCCACAACGTGCGTCGCCGAGCAAACTGTTCATCAACCCCCCTCGCCATCCCTGCCCGTTTCTCTTTCGCCACGAAACTAGATTCACTGCTCATCCTAACTCTGCCACCCACGCGAGCCAACGACGGTATCAGTGCAACTGCATTTAACTTTCTCCCATTCCGTTCGGTTTCGAGTTCGAGTTGGACCATCGTTTGATGCTTTCTTTCGCGGGAAAATAAGCATGGTTCTTTTTCGGAAAGATTCGCAAGGGGTTGCTTCTGTTTTTTTTGTTTTATCTTAGATTGGCAGAACTGTTAACACGAAATATTGTTTTTATGAAATCAGTTGAGTGACTTTAGTGATGAGTGTGCAGTGAAGTGGATCTTGAGTTTTGTTACTGTGGAAGGGGTGGGTTCTGAAGATTATTATATAAATGTGCTTGAAATATTTCTACCACCTAAATGTGTATATACCATATGGATAAAGATATCAAAATGCTTCAGTAATGTTAAGGAACCCCTTTGAATAGGTTAGGTTAGGTTAGGTCTGGATGACTATTCGAACTGTTAAGTCAAATGAAATGAATGGAACAGTGATGAGGTCGATCGATGATCATCCACCGTTCTACGGAAAAAATTAGAAGAAATTGGATTGTAGGCGCATGTAGAGGGAGGTCGCGGCGCTTGTTATCGCGTCGGGACGCGTAGGCGCCTGGTGTCGCGACGATACCCCGGCGGCTGCGTACACGTGCATAATTCCGCGTGTCTCCGGGACAGGAACGTCATTTGACACTAATACACCGGCGTGGCATCAACTCTTGACGAAATTATGGCGTATGCGGGGAGGGCGTGGAGCCTGGTGTTCAGAGAGTCCTGTCAGAAACGATTTCGTTGTGACGGGCCCGTTACTTCGTTGTTGTTCCGCCGTTGACGTTACTATAAGGGGCTGGTTTTAGCAAGAGGGGTGACGAGAATTTGAATAATTGTTAATTGGTAGTCTGGAAGACGACATGTCGTTGGATATATTTTTCGTGGTAGCAATTGCTTCAAGGAATTCACTGAATTGCTCTATGGTACTATTTTATCATTTGAACGTGTTTTAAAAATTATAACAGCTGTAGTTTTTCAATTTAAAGATCATGTATTTAGTTCAGAAAATATTTTAAAATGATTTTTAGCAGCAATTTAGTGATATGTACATATTTAGTTCCCAATTATATTCATTAGACATTCAAAGCCCAGTAGGAAATAACCTCATAAAATGAAGGATGTCCAGATGATCAGACTTTCTCAACAAATAAATATCCCCATGAAAATTCACAATCACTCCGCGTGACGGCGACGAGTGCTAACGTCGTTCGTGCATCAATTAAGTTATCGTTCTCTCCAGGGGGTGGTAAGTAATATTGGCGTGACCGGGGCTGGCTGGATTCTATCCCCAACCCCCTGAACGTCATCCCCCTTTTCTATGCCGGGACGCCACTACCGCTATTAAGACGCGGCACTCTGCCACCTCTAACATCCACCTTCACCTCCCCTTTCTGCTTCTTCGCAAGGCATCCCAACCGGTCTCACCCCCTTTAACCCACCCCCTGTTCCTCGCCTTACGATCGATCTTAATCCAACCGGGTGCTCTACAAGTCGACAAGCTGCTAGTGCTCACGCTTCGACACCTCTGCAGCCAACTTTCTCCACTCGAACAGGGTGTCTCTACTCGAATCCGCGTTATTGAATTTTCATATGGCACCTATTCACCCCTCAATCCCTCGCAGCACCGTTTTTTCGTCTTTCGGTAATTGGCGAGGTCGCACCGTGCGATATCGCATCGTCGAGGACCGTAAACTAGGTGAATCGATGATCAAGAGAGTCTGGTAGTTAGGTTCTCCTTCTGGAACAGTTTTTTTGGGAAGATTGATGGGTCTAGTTTAATCATGGAGTCACCGGTGGAGGGTCCTTCTGTTTCTGGGCCAAGACTCTGCTGCCATGCTGTTATTTCTTTCTGATAGGGTAAATTACTTAAGCATCCTCATCCGAGTGTTTGGGAATTAGGAACATCTAAGTTGGATCCGATCCTCAGGGATACTACTATCTGATGATGGACTTGGCTAAAGTTTCGAACTTAGCAAAAGCGTATCTTGTTTTGAACAAACCACTGGATCACCATAAGTACCTAATTCACATCCCATTTCTATGGCTGGTACAGTCTTTGATATAATAATGCGATAGAAACATGGGTCTTCGAAGACGTCAAAACTCTTCACTTCTTGACCCTAGAATAGGTCCAAGTTATAGGGATCCATAGTACGGATAGACCTCCTTTAGTCTTTAATGTCAAAGTCCTTAGGCTTACATGCCATGTTATTGATTGGATGTGTATTTGCTTATTTGTAACAAGGAAGCCAAGGAATACACAAATTCCAAGCGGCTAATCCCTATAAGTCTTCCCCCCATGAACATCACTGGATCATAGATGCAGTCTTCATGGTACGAATGGATATTGTAGGTATTCCTGGGTTCCCCTCCGGATTCCGTAGGTCCCGACCATTCGTAAACCCATCTTTCTTGATAGCCGTGTTATATGTTCACTATGGACACCATACACGTCGACACGTACTCCTGGACCCTTTTCCCGACTGTCTCCAACGTCCGCTTTGTTACTGAGGGGCTCCCTCTGTGGACAGCGCTGAACCACAGCGCAGCTTCTATGGTGCATACGAATACGACGGATATTTCTGGGTTCTCTTTGAGTTTCCATGGGTGCCGGCCACTCGTAAACCCATCTTCCTTGATGGTCGTGGTATATGTTCGCCAAGGACACCACAAACGTCGACACGTAGTCTTGGAGTGAGGGTAGGACCCTCCTCCCGAGGGTCTCTAGCGTCCGGTTTATCTTGGAAATGTCCACGAGAGAGGCTCCGGAAAGAGTCGTAACGTTATGTCGAAGAAGATAAAAGGTTCTTGACGGTAAGTCGCGGTCGAGCGTGAAACGTGCCCGCTATAAAGGAGATAGGTTTTATGGGTTGAGGGTGGTTACCCTTTAATTCGTTTGGAAACTGTTTTACGCGGGGTTTTAGCGCCTGACGAGGCGGGGCTGAACCCATTCTGGAGACCTTGACATTTTTTTTCAATTTCTTAATACACTAGCTTATAATTTTTTATATGTGCTGTATTTATGATTTATGCAAGAAACTGTAGGGTAATATTAAAATTATGTTAGGTTAAGTTAAGTTAGGTTAGGTTGTACAAAAGTGCTTCTTATTTTCAATCACATAATTCACGTCAGTTTTTGCATTAAGTGTCCTGAAAATCGAATTCTACAAAGTGGTAATAAAACAGTTATTAGCAGGACAAATGGAGCTTGATTAAATTTTAAATCGTGCATCGATACGATCTTCGATATCGAATTTTCATATTTTCTTTAATTGAAATTCGTATCGGTATGTCGTTTGAAATTCATATCGAACCATTCGAAATATCACCTCGTATGATTTTCATTTTACAGTTTAATTATTATAGACCCTTTAACAAGGAAACGTCGAAACATCGTCGCACGGTTGGGACAGAAGTTCTCAATTTATTTCGGCATTGAAATTAATATAAAAGAAGGAATTATCGGAGAATGGTAAAACGATTATTTCCACACAATTCATCGAATAAAAAAAGCACAAAAGCAATTAAACAATAATTTTATTGAAATAAAAAAAAGATTCAAAAATTGCTCCATGATGTTGAAGGCATGAAACGAACTGAAATTATTTTATTTAAACCAAATATTTCGACTCATTAAGCGACGGGATATATTTTACATAACGTCATTATCCGTCACAAACTGTACTGCAGCATCGTCGCCTGTCGCCGAGTTTATTTTCGAGCAAACAAGTCATCGCTAATTCTCGTGGTGGCCATGTAGAATCCGATTTCCCATAAGAATCGCACGTGAAATATATTAATGCGTCGCACCGCACACGGGACCGGTAATGAATACATATCATCCGCGTTTTGTAACCCGACTGGATGTGCTGAATGCGTGAAAACGCAGACTATCGATTGTCCGTTCATTTCATTTTTCTCTCGATGTAATTTGCGAGTGGTGGTTACGTGTATAATATATGTGTTTAAATTCTGATACAATTCCATTAAATTTTGCAAAATGGCGTTGTAATTTCTTTTTATTTTTACGCAGCCCCTGGGGGCACTGGAAATAGTTCAATATTGTCATCAAAATACAATTGATGACACCAATTGACTGTCTATATAATTACGAAACATCTCATACTATTCTCCAAAATATGTATATAAATTTAAGCCACAGACACAACCCTCGAATCCCCATAAACATTCCTCGCACGCCCGACGATATCGGATCGTCGAACGAGACGTATCGTACATTTCCAACTGGCTGTCTGCTCGCCTGGACACCCCTTTAACATCGAGCAGCCCGAGCGTATTGAATAACATTCATGGGGAATTACCGATGTGTATTCACCGGTGGCCCGATCGAGCAGGGTACGTCTGTCCACATTGGGATTGGTTCTCGAGACGGCGGCCTTTCAAGGGCGATTTCATGCGAGGACGATTTAAGATCTGCCTGGGCCCACCATCGTGGTCGCTCTCTTTTTGCACACGGACGCGAACACCCATAGACATTCAGGATTACCGCGAACAGAGAGGCAGAGTTTTTCTCGATGACCGAGCATCGACCACGACGACTTTGCTTCCCCATCTCGACCCCATCCCATCCTCATCCTCCTCCCATCGCCGTCCGGCTCCACCGGTGGCTCGGTTACCAACGTTACAAGCCAGCGAGACTCGAGTGGCGACCTCTCCGTTTCCAGCCTTTTTCCTGCCGAGATATATAGACGGCCACTAAACTTCTGTCCTTCGCCATCAATTCTGCTGCAGAAGGATCGCGTACCACCTAACGCGGACTTCTGCTCCTCAGCCTCTCTGTCCCTCTCGTTTACTGAATGCCTGCAGGCTTGATCTTTTTTGCCGACGATAGCGCGAGCGGGCTATCTTTCGCGTTTAAAGGATCGCCCCTTGCGACAGTCATCCTTCAGACCTGCCTCCTGGGAACTGGGCTTGGGATCGGCCAGAGGATGAAGGCGCGGTATTCCGCATAGCCCTAGCTGCTGAAATTGAATCGAAGATTTGGTCGTTTAGTGAAAGGTCCGGCTATTTGGAAGATGTGGGTCAATGATTGAAAGTAGTCATCCTGTCCTGTCCTGACCACTCTGGAAGTGGATGGGTCCTTAAAAACTGGTGTGGTTAAAATGTACAGTGTTTGCTATAAGGTGGCAGGAATAGTAATTGTTACAATCAAGGGTATGCTAAGTAGGGACCTGAATGTAATGGAGGTAAAGTTGTGGAATAATCCCACTGAGGAAGGAAGAGGAAAGAAGAAATGTCTGTATGGTGGTGTAATACCTAGCACACTTTTTAAGCGCATGTTTCATACGGTAGGACTTGTTTTACCCTCGTTTTGCTGCGTTTAAATGATCGCTCCCTGTGAGAGCGGTTTCTTTGCCTCTACAGGGTCCTTGGGACCAATCGTTCGCTCCGTGAATTTTTTACGAACCGACATTACATGCACCTTTATCTCAGGTTCCTGGTAAACGACAGGCGGACAATAATTTCTTCCTATGAGACATTCATGCAAACTACACGCTGTAAATAACTGAAATTGCATTTACAGCGCCATCTAGTTCGAATGTAAGGTTGTGCCTTTAGCCAATAACCTTCCAATTTACATTAAAATGGGTTGTATAAGAGTTTCTATTAATAACTTTCATATTTTTCCTGCTTTCGTTCTTAATGGTTGGCAAAATCAGTTGCATTCAATGAAATATTTACGTCTAATATTAATTTAAAGTGAGGTTAATTTGACCTAACCTATATTAGATATTATAAACTCTAATCTTCATTTGAAACTCCGACAGTGTTTAATTCATAACTTAGAATATTCTACAGAATTGCTACTGTGTTTAAGCGTAATATCGAGTATCATAACCTAACCTACATTTGGTTTGACCTCAATCTGCACCTAACTTGAAAGCAGCCCTGCAGTCTCATTTGCAAGCAAATTTAAAATTCCGTTTCATTGTAATTAAAGTTTATCCATTAAACCTCATACGTGTTTAATATAACCGAATTGTGGTATATTAAATGGTATATTGCAGCTTAGCCCAGATTTGACCCAGACTTAATCCACACCCAATTTGGCAGCCTTATTTGCAAACAAATTTAAGATTTCAGTTACGTTCAAATTGCCTTCACTGAAAATCTTATGCGCTTATCATGATTTGAAATTTGAAGCTTATAATCTGGCGACGTTTTAATGCTTCAAATTAACTTGGATCAGCTAGCACGAAACAAGAGGAACATATTGGACCTCGAAAGATTAAATGGTTTCCGGTTACAACGTTATGCTTTCAGTAGGGTACGACGCGCTCATGCTCTAATACCGTGAATTAATTTGGCATCGAACTGATGTGCAGCAAGAAAAGCGTAGGTATAGAATCGGAAGAATTTAACGGCAAACTGTCAGTCTTCCATATTTACGCTGATGCATATTCGAGAAATATTGATGCTTCAAAAGTGTCGCAATATTAGACTCACTCGGGTTGTCATATTCTTGGAAAAATACTTGCGTTTCGAGTTTAACTTGATGTTTCATAATTTCATCTCACCGTAAGTGAAAACGAGAACACTGTATACACAGAAGTATATATTCAAGAAAGATTCAGTAAAGAATTTCTCGCAGTCGCTTGAAGAAACAGTTTGTTTGCGGACCAGACTGCAGATATTACATCCAAGAACCAACTCCAGAGGCTCGGTGTGCGCCTCTGCCTGGCGGATGCACAGTTTCTCATGAACATGTGTCGATCCCGAGCTCTTGTGTACGGATGTCCACAGGATCTTTCTGGCTCCTTCAGAATATCGTATCCTCGAGGTAGGATTTGCTCTGTCGATGTCTGCGAGTACATATAAGGATAGATTTCCGTGTTCCCACCAATACCTATCCGATTCAGACAGCTGTATTCAAGATATCACCTCGACTAGAAGCATTACACACAGGGTGTCCCAAACATTATGATCCATCCAATAACGTGAAGATTATTCTTCGAATGTGGTAATTTAAAACCATGAAACAGTTAATTTATGACACGTTTATTATGTCGGAGGTGTGTAACTTAACCCCCTCCCCCTCCCGCCCCACTGAAAATAATTAGGGTTACAACACAGCTATTTCATTGTTATGTGTTTTTTACAGAGTTTGCCATATCAAGTGTACAATGCGGTGATTCCAGGGAGGGCAGGACATCTCGATAGAATTACAGTGCACTCATAAAAGTGGTGAGTCGAGTTTCGATTTTTACGTCCCTCATCGAGCGAGAGCTAACATTTTTATTAGCCAGTGGACAACGATTCACTGGTGAAATTATTTCGAAATTAGAGACAAAAGTAATTTCAGAATAGGAAGCTCAATTTCTATAAAATTGAAAGTTCTTGTTTTCAACGAAACTCTGGCTGTATTTATACTTGATAAATAGAAAGAAAAACTTTGACTCGTTGCCCGCCGAAGGGAAACGAAAGAATATAATTTCAAAGCAGAGGCGAAGAAGAGAGGTTGATTAAACGGTCGTTAGAGGGAAATGAATTTTAAACACGATTCCCCATACGTGAACGGGAGACGGAAATAATCGTGAGGCTGGCTCCTTTCGGTGAGAACGTTTCCGTAATATGCAGACTCGACCTTCGGTTGAATTAATTTTTGCCCGAATTATCATCCACACGAGATTTCCAGAAATTTTCGTCGTCTTTCGCGTGAACTTTTAGTCGGGATATGGTCCAGGGTATCCAGAGATAGAAATATTTGATAGGGAAAAAGTTGGAAACTTAAATGGAATTGGGTTTCTAAAAACCGTGTCGTAGCCTCGAAATTTTTTATTTCACCCTTCGCGCTACGAAAAGTGAAGTTTAAAAATTTCACGTGTCGGTTTGGAAATTTTCTCTCTCGTAGCTAAGGTTTCAGTACCCCCGATTTCAATTTCCATGTTTCAGAAGTTGAACTAAATTTTTAACTACCGGGTTTCGAGATTCAAACTTCAATTTAGCTCCTTTCCTCCCCCCCCAACATCCGCTTCATCCGTTTTGATTCCTTAAGCGAATTCTGTTCAACATTTGTCACATTTCCCGCGGAACGATTCATTTCCTCCCGGAAGTTCTCTTCGTCGTCGAGCACATGCAGGGAGCAGAGTGGCTGGTCTAGCGAAGATAAACGTGGCCGGATCGAATCCTGGCTCGATCCTGGGTCGACCAGCCAATTGGTTGAAGTTGTCTGTCTGGCCAGGCCGATTAATCGATAAGCCCCATCGTCTTGGCTGAAAGCGAGAGTGCTCCTTCGAGAGACGAAGCAATCGTTGAAAGGGAAGAGAGGAGCATATCGACGCTTCCTGCCTCCTCGATGCTCCTCTATTCGTGTATCCACGTTTTCCGAGTGCTTTTAGCTCCGTGACATCGTGTTGCTTCGCAGTAGCTCCGGTCTGATCGATACACTGTGACCATACTTCGAGTCAGGCTACTCAGATCCGTAGAGACAGGGTCTCTGTTGCTTAGAACCCATGATTATGATGGGAATGTGTTGAAAGGGGACCTAGAAGAGTCTTTTGGTAGCTGTCAATTGCTTCTTCTAGGTGGTCTAGTGTCAGGGACTAATTAGAAAGGCATAGTTGAGGTGGATAGCTCAGCTGGTCTGAGTAAAATTTAGGATTTGTGATGTTAGCTGCTAGGCTATAATGTTCAATTGTTGCATGCCAAATAACAATCTGAAGCCTATGGGTTGATAGGTGCAGCACCTACCATCATCAACATTTTGACAATTCACCTTAATACAAACATCCTCCGCATAATTCCTGAGCTCATTCCGTCAGAAAGAAAGGAAAGAATTCGTGATCCAACTGACAGACATCAAAATCCGAGCTCGCCATCATAGGCAGCGCTGCAGCACGCTCCAAAGGAGCAGTTTCTCATTTCCCTTCCCAACAGCTGTCCACCTAGCCAGACCGAAAGCTAGCAATCCCTGGTAGGACCCCCCTTGGTGCCTGAGTTTTCCATAAATATAGATACCTCGGTGCACACCGCCACGCCTGAGAACCTCTGAGGTCCCTCCTTTCGGATGCTCCATTCCCGCCTCGACGAGAGGAGGATGTCCGGGGGACTGAGGGTACCATTGTCTTAATTGAGAGAGGTTAATTCGAGACGGACGAGTTCTGAGAGTTATAGACACTGTGCCGTGTTTAGCCGGAGCTTAGGCGGCTCCTCTTCATTGCCCGATACCGCAGACACTAGGACGCGCCAGTACGAGATGTTGGTGTGTCCGCACGTCTGCTTTCGTTTTTGTCCTCGTAGATTTATACATGCAGCCCGGAACGTACGGTGTCTCGTATCTGACGTAGATTATGTGCCGGCTGGCTACTGGTAGATTTCATTAGGAGTTAGCTCCGTCTCTTGTAATTTATCTCTTATCAGTTTCGTTTCACGGAGGGTCAGAATGGACGTACACCGGAGGATCGTTTCTTTCGGTTCCCTCTGTGCTGACTAGGCAATCCTGGACACCAGTGATAGGTTCACGCATGTTCTTGGATAAGGTGGTGTCAGAAATGAGGATGGGGACGAGGGGAATGACTTGGTTGGATGAACAGACATCCGAATTGGTAATTTTGCAATTTGCACTGAAAGGTTCAAGGGTGACCGAGTCTTAGAACTGATTTTATAATGCACACTTGAGAACAAAGGGATAGAGTTCTTTATTCCTTAGAATTAAAAAAGTACACACCCTGTCTAGGTCTTAGAAATTTGCATTTAGTAGCTTTGAGGGCCATTTTCATTCAGAGCCCTTTAAGTCGGCCAAAGCTCTAAATGAAACCCCAAACAACAGGGCCAAGTTTTAACAAACATACTTTTCTCAACTGTTTAGTCACTTTTATGCTGAAAGCATTATTTCAGCCATCACGACGAGATTGCCACGACAAAATCTTGTCTCGGTCCACGGCTCTAACCCGAATCACAGCGAAGAGCTACTTAACCTCATTCCCACCCTTTCCGTCTCTCTCTCTTTCTTTGTCATTTAGTCATTAGGGCTTTCAGGCTACTCAGACTAATCTAACTTTTAACAGACCGTTACTCGACGGGCAAGAAATGTTTTCAAGTCCGTGGGACCACCTTAGACAGCCTAGCTGTGTCTCGCCGAAGAGCACCCTTGCCTTGACAAGGACCCTCATTGCATAATGTGCTCGTTGAAAGACGTAAGACGGAGGGGGATGAAACAACTGCGTGGCCGACGAGGCGCATCTCAATTTGAGGGCTTGTCGTTGATGACGAGAGTGACTCTTCTTTCCCCAGGGACATAGAGAGTTGAGAACCGTGACGCGGCAAGGAAAGCGCACCGTGGTGGGGTGCCGGCAAGGTTAGGAGGGCGGGAATCATGGCAGTGTGTCTCCAAAACGTGACCGAGCATAACGTAAACTTCGTTAGGAAAAGTGGATGAGGGCGAAGAAATGCGGAAACTCGATGTTCCAAGGGTGAAATTATGTGGAACGAGGAGAGAAATCGGTTGGTTTATCGACTGATATGCTTCGCTGGTGATTTTCAACTGAATCTATGAGTATGGTAGACGTTAGGGTATGAATCGAATACCGTGATGTAGAATGTTTTAGTAATGAATGGTGCGATGGAATGAAGTGGGTTTGGATATGAAGGAGGGTTGAAAATATATGTCTCAAATCTTCGTTACAACAAATTTTATTCAAACATAATTATTATACATCAGAAATAGGTGCTACCATTTCAGAAGGTAGAAGAATTTTAATCAATTTACTCTTTGCCAGCTGAGTTCCTCGTGAAAAGTATCCTAAAAAGGTATCCAATAACACATGCACCGAGCATCCACTTTCATCGAACATTGCTGACATTCTGAATCCTCCTCTGTGTGACAAAGGAAATCCGGGGGGGGGGGGGGGGAGGGGGTGAAAAAGAAGTGAAAAGGAAAGAACGAGGAGAAAAAGAGGGAAAAAATAATAACGACGCAACGAAATCTGAGACGTGATCAAGCACGTGGGAAATTTCGCTGTGACAGCAATAGAAGAGAAAGGCGGGACAAAGAACGTCGGGCCGGAAGAGAAGCGAGAGCCACGCAAGTCCTCTTTCCGTTTTAACCGGCCTGCGCTTCCGGAATTCTGGATATTCCCCGTTATCGAGGACAAAAAATGCTTTTTGCTCGGCTGGTCGGATGCTACGCGGTTATCAGTGTCCATCGCGAATCGCTTCCCTTCGGAAAAACATTTTTCGAATTTTCTGTGGTCCACTCGGGGTTTGCTCGGTAATTCGCAACGGTAACAAAAGGCCGTGAAGTACTTTTTGTGCGTCGAGAACAAAAAACGGATCAGAAGTGATTAAAATAATGCAATTGTCAGTTGTAACATCGGTTTAATATGTTTCAAACAGGGACAATTTTGTGACATTACTGTTTGATCATTTTCAAACTTCATAATTCCGCGAAGATTTAAACATGAAAAATAACTTCGACAAAAAAAAAAGGTAGCGGACATTGATTTTCAATCAGGGAAATAACAAAACAAAATGGGTCTTCAGTGAAGTTGAAACGAACCGTGCAAACGGATTGTACATTTCGTGCCGATTAAATTTTAATATAAATCGACAATTCCTGCAGCTCTTTTAATCAAATACCATTCCTGCATCAAAGTATCTCGAAATCTCTTCCAGACCGAGGATGGACGGGCGCTGAAACGGTCGGGGTCAGGGGTGGCCTTACAATTAAAACTTTGCTCCCGGCGTCTTTCTCTTTCAGCCTCGTTCTTCGCCTTTTAGAGTGCAAATAAACTGCCCCCGTGCCCGTCGTCCCTCGTTCCTGGATATTTTGTCGCTCGACAAAAGGATACCTTTCTTTAAATAAAAAGAAAACAAATTGTCCTATAAACAATCTTAGAAAAAAAGAGGCATTCACATTTTCATTACTTGTTTTAAAAAAGTTAATTAATACAACTTTATAACTGCATTTCATAACGAAGGAGTTCAATATATACAATAGCTATCTTTATAAAGTTTGCCTGTGGGGGGCTTAAAGGTATCAGACACCCCACGACACTTTCTCGTGTCCCAAGAAACGCAATTCCCGAGAAATTCTCGCAGCAGGGCTTGAAACTGCTGTGCAACCCCTATGTAGCCCGAAGATCGTCTCTAATTGGCCAGTGGCGGGATTGTCCGTTCCGCCATTACCACGGACAAAGAGTGGATCCGTTATCCCGGTCGGGTGGATCGTTGAAATATTGCCAGGT